ATCGGCGACTCAGCCGATCGGCTTATATCTCTACTCATAGAGCTATTTCTTCTAATTCCACATTTTCAACTGTCTAAATCAATAGTAACACCTCTTCATCAGTCTTCAATGATCGAATTAAGATGAAGTTAGTATACAAGTTTAAAGCTTGTAATTACATAAAACTTATTTTCTAAAGCAAATTTTTCTATAATAAAACTCATATTAAACGTACAAATAATCTTCTAATGAACATAATAAAACAGAAAAAAAAAACTCACTGTTGAAAGAAAATATTGTTCAATAAGATCTCTAGCCATATTTCGAAGTATTTCTTTATTCGTTTGTTGTTGTTCATATGTCAAATTAGTATTATGTTGAGATGCGGATAAACCAGCACATCGAAATGCCTAAATATAAAAATAAAAATTCTCATTCATCATTATCTATTCTTCTTACTTCAGCATTCAAATAAAAATTTCCATAACCAACAGCATCAAGTGTTTGCAAAAATTCTATAAAAATCATCGATAATTTCAATAAATATATTTAAAAAATCTTACTCAAAAAATAATCTAAACCATTACAATTATTTAAAATTTCTGTTAATGGTAATTCTCGATAAGAAACTTTAGGTAATATATCATCATCATCCTAAAATAAAAATGAATTTTTTTTTTTTGTATAAATAACATTTTGAAAGATAAAATATATTACTAACAAATATTATTGTTTCGGTTCGACTATGCGTATCTAATTTTTCATTGAGTAATTTTTTTAAATATTGATAACTATTTAATGTTGCACGAATATCTGCGTCTAAAAAATAACACAAAAATCTATTCATTAAAAAACAATATATACATACAGTGGCTACCAAAATTATTCCATCGAGTTTATTTTCAATTCTTTTTCACTGTCATAAACATCAATAAGAATCCAAAAAATAATTTATACAGAGAGATTTATTTGCAGCAAGAATTTTTGAAGAGACAAATAATTGCTAATTCTTCAGAGATCCTATCCTTGAAAGATTAGCAATTATTTTCATCATCAAAAATTCTCTATACAAATCATTATTTGAATTCTTATTAGTGTTAACAGCAGTAGAAAACAATTGAAAATAAATCCGATCGAAAAATTTTGAGAGTTACTGTATATAAAATTTGATTTACCATTTTCTCCTCCTGTATCTTTAGAACGCCAACGATTGATTTCAATATCAAGTCGTTCAGCTAATGTTGCTAATTCAACTCTTGAATCAGTTGTTCGAACCACAAGAAGAAAATTATCGATTGTCAATGGAATTTGTTGACACTAAAAAATTATAAATTTAACCAATGTATTTCTTGTTTATTAGTGTCTTTTCTTACCATATTAATAATTAATTGATTAATCGCATCTGGATCTGAATACATATCAATAAAAGGTATTAAACCAAAATTAACTGCAACTTCCTTTAAAAAAAGAATTACAATAAAAGATAATTCATTGAATATTTTAAAATTAAACTTTACATACTCGAAGAAGAACTCGAGCTGGTACACAACGAAATTCATTAGCAGGTAAAAGAATATAAATAAGAACTTCAACAATATCTCGAAGAAATTCTATTGAAATATTCAATTAATAATTTTAATTAATGAGATGATGGAAAAAAAAAAACAATACCTTTTTCTTTATCTTTATCCATACAAACATCATCTCGACAAATTCCTCTTTCATATTCAGCTTCTAAATCAAAAAAACACGAACGAATATCAGTTGATTGTTCCAAACGTAAACGTTCTTTTGCTTTTCGATATAATCGAACATGTGTTGCAAAACTATCAACAATTGTTCCAGTACAAAAATCTAACCAATCAATTTCACGTAATCTAATAAATTGAATAATTTAAAACAAAAAACGAAGATTTGTAATAAACAACCTTTCAGATAAATGACGAATTGTTATATAAATTCCGTTTTTTACATCATCAATAAATGATTCATCAGAACTTAATTGAGTTTTATACCAAATTTCAATATAATCACGAACAAATAAATCAATTAACTATTAAAGAATATTTTTAAAACAAAAGAGATTATTCTTCTTTTTTTTTTTTTTTAATTAAGTTTACTTGATAAAGTGGCTCATCAATATCTGATATTCCTGTTAGTGGTGCACGTTCAGTAGATAAATTTGAAGTTTTCAAATATGATGGTAAAACATCTTGAAAATCAGAGATCTAAATTATATTTATTTTAAGTTTTAAATTATAATATATTATTGACATTTTATTAAGCATTCATTTCATTGTGAATTAAAGACGAAATTAAATTTGATTAATGATTTTCTTTGATGTAAAATGAAGTAAACTTTTTATAGCTATAGGTAAATCGACATCTAACTAAAATAAATATTTGCTCGGCTTCTTTTATATTGACATTCATATGTCATGATAAAAATTTTTCTATATAATTACTAAGACAATTTTATTAAATGAGTAATATTTCAAAACATGATCGAACTTTTGTCTATTTAGCAATAAGAATATTTCACTCAAGGAGAAAAAAACTGAAAGAAAAAAACAATTTTATCAAATTTGAATGTAAAAGATTTTATCCAAAACAATAAACTAATATGAATGATAAACAAAACTCTCTTTTGTTTGCATCTAATGTGGTAGAAAAAAGTTTATCAACAACGTATTTTTGAATTTTTTTTTCTATGATATTAAGCAAATAGCTCCAATCCAAATAGTGATTTTAATAATCAATGGAATTTTCTATCCAACGTATTCTATACCAAAATATCGTAGATGAACTATGATGATAAGGTTCCTAAAAAGTCGGACACAATAGCTTTCAGATTCTAGAAACTACTTTTGAACAATGCCATTTTAAAGAACGCAAAGTTGTGAACAAAATCAGAGTTCGCCACATTTTCTACGTCCTTCTCTCAAAAAAGTTAAAAATATCACAAAAACCGAAAAATTTTGATGAATTTTGGTTCTTATAGTTTTTGTGATACTTTTAACTTTTTAAGAGAAGTTCGTAGGACATGTGACGACTCTTCATTTTGTTCTATTTAAAAGGGTAATGTTAAAAAATAGCTTCTGGGACCTGAAAACTCCCGTGTCAGATTTTTTAGAAACCTTGCTATCATAGTTCATCTATGAAATCTTGATGTAGACTTCATTAGATAAAAAACTCCATTGATTATTAAAATCATTATCTGGATTTCAGCTGATTGCTTAATATTATAGAAAATCCGAAATACGTTGTTGTTAAACTTTTTTCCATCACCTTATGTTTAAGATTAACAAATAATTTGGTAGAAAGGTAGCATGTGGATAATATATCATACATAATTATTAGAGATGCATGAGATCGGACCATGAGAAAAACGCTATCTGAAGCAAAAGTATAGATTGTATGTAAATATTTTATGATTTTGAGTGAATCATCATATAAATCATATGAATCAAAACAAGTGACATTCATCGACTAAATCAATAAAACAAAAAAAGAACATCTAAGAATTGTGTAAGATTTCAACAGAATGAATTTTGAAATAGTTTTCTCTAAGTCGAAGCTAGATCAAAGTTGCCAAAGTTATAGGATAGATGAGATTCTATCTTCGAGACAAAAGTAACTCGGTCTCAGATATCTCTAGTTACATTTCGTTCTAAAAAATGTGATAACTACTCTTAAGATCTTTCCTATCAATAACACAAAGGTCTATTTAAGAATCAAGCTAAGTTCATAAAGAATTTTATTAGAAAATCTTCAAGAAACATATCAACTATAATTTATTAAATCTCAACGTATATCTTAATTGTGATTATCCAGCAAAATAAAGTTTTACTTACCAAAAAAGTAATATCTACATCGTATGCACTTATCTTACTATTTTCTTGATTTATTATTAAATCTGTATTAAAACAATTTGAATAAATTCATATCACTATTATTAGTCAATTTGAAACAAAAACATTAAACTATACTTGATCCCATTTTTAAATACTTTTTATTTGGATATCAACAACTATTTCCAAACTCATCCTTAATACACAAGTATTTTCTAGGACTTTATAATTATATTGAATAGTGCAATGATCTTCTACATCCAATGAAAATACACCAAGAGTGAATAAGTTTAGAATATCATGAAAGAAAATCTAAGATGATACATATCATTACTCATCAATCTCAAATCTCATTATCTATGTCAATGATTCCGGCATCCGAATCTGTCAATTCTCAACAGGGTTTCCACCGGAAAGATGTCATTTCCGATCGGAAACAGCTCGTATTTCTTGACTTGGATTGTAGATTCTTCAACTATTAAAATTAACACATTTAACTAAATTTCTCCTATCAAATGGAATTTTTTACAATTTTATATAAAATAAACATATATGCAAACAAAAATGAATTTCTTACACGAATAAATAATTTTGATTGAATAAAAGCTGTTCGGATTTTATCATAAATTGGATTTGATTTCATCCATATTTGTCTATGAATAATTAAATGAATAATAAAACTAAATTAAAATAATTAATTCTCATAATTAAAAAACTAAAAACAAAACAAATTCTAAACGAACCCAAAAATGAATGCCGTAAAAAAAAGAAACCAATAAATTGTTCTTTGAATTCCAAAAAAACCCAAAATCAAACATAGACCACCGATAATAATAAGATGTTTAGAAATCATCGAAGGCCATTCAAAACATAAAACAAAATTAAATACCTTGTAAAATAATATTTTTTTTTTTTCTTTAGAAAACAAAAAACGAAATAATGATTTTTTCAATTGGTTAAAAGTCATACAATAATAGTATTATAGATCGAGCTACATCCTTTCTTTTCCTAACTGTATTGGTGGCTCTCTTGAAAGCACTTTCAAATGGAAGAGTGAATAGACGAGAAAAAAAAACAACAACAAATATTATTTGTCATACATTGCCACATATGTAATAGGTTTAAATCATTTAGATAATAGATTATCGGTTTTTTTTTTGTACAATCCGAATGGTAACACTTGAAGAATTTTTTGAATCAAACATCAATTCGGATTCTGATAATGATTCAGCATTGATGGAAGATGCTCTCTCTGAAGTTATTTCATCATCAATAATAACAAATGGTTCATCATCATTGAGTGATGATGAAAATTTTTTAATTATTTCTAAAACAAAATCTGATAGAATTAAAGAACTTTTAAATAAAAAAAATAAACGACAATTAATTAAATATGCTAAAAAGACTGGTTTAATTAATATATTATATCGCAAACAGATATGGCCTTTAGTAATTCGTCCACCATCTTATTGCACAGTTGAATATGATAATAATAATAAATTATATTTTTGTCCAATTAATTATTATGCAGCAGGTATTCATTTTTTTTGTATTTGAATTTTTTGTTTTAATGATAAGAATTTATATTAAAATATTAGATAAAAATCAAATTGAATCACATCGATATTATGGACAAGTTAGAATGGATGTTGAGAGAACATTAAAACGATTTCCACCGAGTATAAATTTTTTAAGGAAATAAATAAATGATTTTTCTTTTTGTTTTTTTATTTATTAAAGATTATTCTGATTCTGCTAGAATTGAATTACAAGAAGAACTTATTATAACTGTTATTAAAATGTTAATTAAACATGATTATCTTAATTATTATCAAGTAAATTATTTAGACGAATAAAAATATTTATTAGATTTTAGTTTTTTTTTTTTTATTATTTTTCGTAGGGTTATCATGATATTTGTTTGACATTTTTAATTGTGCTCGGTGCAGATTTGTGTCTTCCATGTATTGATACAATAACTAAATCACATTTCAAGTAAATTTTTGTTTAACATCTATAATTAAATTAAATTATTATTTAATATTGAATTTTTTTGTATTTTGTGAAAACATCTTTAAGCATAGAATTAGATCTTTGTTGACATTAAATGAAATATATTATAATTAAAAACTTTTTATGATGAATATTTTCAATAAGAGAATGTCATATATGTAAAAGTAACTAAGTAGTATCTTATAGTTCAATTCTATAGAGATTTATAGTAATAGTTTTTATGATTTAATAAGGAAATAATTTCTTATATAGGTCAACAAAACTTTGGTCCTCAGACAAAAACCTAATGCATTGTAAATCGTATTTTATTTTTTATCAAAACACAACTTGAATACATCTTTAAATCACTCTATAGTTTGTCATGGTTTTAAACTAATGGCATAATCAAGGAAAAGGGCTAATCGAGAGAACTACCCGAACGAATACCCGCCGTTTGAACTCATGTTGTGTTCACAAAGAGATCTTGATAAGACTAGAAGAATCCTAAAAGAGTTCATACCCATGGACCTCTAAAGATGAGTTATGATCATTTTACTGAATATTCGATTAATATCCTGCAATGGGATGAGGTACTTGAACGCGACCCAACAATTAAGGAGATCTCAACATTTCAAAATATTTTTACTTTCTCAAACTATTAAATTTATATAAAAGCATAGGAATGAAAATCAGTTCGATCATGATTAAGCAATTTATTTTACGTGACAACTGGTCACAAGAATGAAAAGCGATATTGTTTTACTAGAAAAATTTATTTTGAATAAAAATTCATCTGCAGATATTGATAAAGGATATGACGAAGTAATTGAACACATGAAGAGGAAAATAAATAATTATAAAAAAGATGAATATGCATTATCGTGATGGAAATAGTATTCATGTATGTATCCATAATTATGACGTTGAGTACCAACACTGAGTTCCTTTCCAACATGATCAACAACAAGCAAACGTATGCTTAACGAAATTGATCAGATATTAGAAGCAAAAAGACACCAAGTGAATCATGAGTCATTTCCTTCTTTTGTTGTGAAATTTGAGGTGATCTCTTTTTCCGTTGCTGTTTATGGAAGAAACTAAATAGTACACTTTTTCATATAAAATAAAAGTTTGAAAACCATACTATGATTGTAAAAGTATCTGCTAGATGTCAATTAACTCCAATCTGGATTTGGTTATGAAAAGTTGTACTCATACAGGACGCTATTTTCGATCTATCATCTTTAGGGATTTACCGAAAAATCAAATAACAGAATTTCGACCTGAAATTTTGCCCATAGATAGGTTTGATGACTCTGGAAATATCCTGAAAGTTTCAACCAAAAAGAATGTTCGTTTGTCATGATATTGAATTTTCAGGTAAAGTTGATTTTTGTGGCAAACGATCATTTTTTGGAAATTCAATATCTCGACAAAAGAATATTCTTTTCGGCTGAAATTTTCAGAGTCATCAGATCTATCTATGGGCAAACTTTTGAGTCGAAATTCTGTTACTTAATTTTTCGGTAAATACTCAGAGCTGGATCGAAAAAAAACGGTCATTATTCGGCTACAGATGCACATGGATACAAACCTTCTTAGGATTTTTCTAGTCTTATCGAGACCTCCTTGTGAACACAATATGAGCTACAATGACGCGTATTGATTCTCTCGTAAGTCACCCTAGTTAGCCTTTGTCACCTGCTCTTCTCCTTAACACAGGCTCCTACTGTGTCGCCTCATCGCTTTAAACCTCTTAAGAAACTATGTTTTAGAAGCTGCGAACAACTAAGTTTTGTAAGTGAAAATCAAAACTTATGTCAACCTTGAAATTTGAATTCAAGTATTGAAGATTTTGAGATATTTAATTGTGTATGCATGTATATTTCCGTGATATTCTCACTAAGATAATATCTGAACTCAATAATTGGATTCAACTGTCCGATTTAAAATATATGAAGATCAAGTACACATTTACTTCAGTCGTAGAGACAGAGTTGAAAAGTATCACACGTATACTTGTGATACAAAACATTTAGTATCAATGTCCGTTTTAGATAATCATAGTAGCAGATATTTTTCGATTTATTTTACTAATAATGTATTATTTATATATATGTATGTATATATGTAGAGATTTTATGGAGCCAACAATGGAAAAAACACGAGATTTACTTTCTTATTTAATGCCACTTATCAATTGTGTCAATAGTGAATGTGCTGAATATATGCAGAGGTAAGCAAAATAAAAAAACAATGTTATTATTAATCCTTTTCATTAAAAATAATCTAAATTTTTTATGAGTATGAACTAACCTCTTCTTTAATTGAAAAATCGATGTTTTTTTAGAAAATATAAGTTGAAGAATTAAAATTCGAAACGAACTGAAATTTTAGAGTTTCAATTCGATTAATTTTCTCTTTCTCATGTATCAATCATCGAATATTATGAATCATCTTATTTGTAACTTGAGTGTTCACTGAACCAAGACGATTTCGATTGTTTTTAAAATCAAAAGAATATTCAATCTAATTTCAGAGGTGGTGTTGGAAATGTTATGTTTGCATTATCATGGTTTATAACATGGTACTCTCATGTATTAGATGATCTTGACATAATCCTGCGACTTTATGATTTATTTATTGTTTCACATTTTCTTATGCCAATATATGTAGCTGCTGAAGTAGATTATTTGTTTTTGTTTTTATGTTAAAAAGACATACAGATTTTTTTTGTTTATTAGATTGTTAATTTCCATGCAGATCAAATTTTATCAATTGACTGTGATATGCCTTCATTACATCAATATTTAACACGTTTACCCAGTGAATTAGATAGTAATACTTGGGAAGAAATTATAAATAGATCATTACATCTATTTCGAAATCATCATCCAGACACACTTGATGTATTAAATGATGAATGGATAAAAAGATGGTAAAATATTTAACTAAACTAATTTTGTTTTCTTTTATGAAGCATAATTTAAACAGAGTGTTGGAATATAGGGGTAAAAATTTGGACGTCAATCCTCATAGCTCGTGAGAGATGCTACTCAAAAACTATTACAGAAGATTTCTAAGCGGTCGAGAAATTTTAAACTAGTTCGATTCGGACCGATTACAACTTTGTATCATAGACTGTGATAGATGTTTATAATTAACAAGAGTAGCTACATCGTATTGAATATTTTAATCCGACAGGAATTGCACTAAGATCTTGTTTGTTTTAAATAAAATTGTTTGGTTTTTAGTGAATTTATTGAAAAATTACCTATGGAAACATCTATTCGACGACGATATGGTAAAGATTCATTGGAAAATGACAATAATAGAGAAACATCTTCGAATATAAATGATCGAAACGAACAGCAAGGTGCATTACCACGTATTGTTCTTTGGGGTGTGACACTGACGATAAGTGGTTTAGCTATTTATATATGGAATCATACACAACGAACAGATCCAACGACAATTATTAGTCTTGGAGATTTTCTTGCGCAATTATATGGAAAATAATTCAGCTTGGCTTACTTTGTTTTTTATTTTCTGTTTTCATTCCCGGACTCTAGTCGCTCTGTTATATGTGAAAACTATTTTCTTGCTTCATGTGTACATAGTGTTATTTAAAAAAAATTTAAGAAACAATATTAATCGATCTATTCTTTTGTTAATATTGGATAACAACTATTTTCTTTTGTCGCTGTCTTAATTTTATATGCATTTAATGGAAATTTTCTTTTTTTTTTTGTTTATTTAACCTCTATTTTTCTTTGTTGTTGTTAGGTCTTGCACATTGAGCCAAGAAAAATAATTAACAAAAATTATTTCTTTCTAGATGAATCTCATCTGATCTGATTTATTCATTTTCGTGTTGAAATTAATGGATACAGTGGATACTCCAAACGAAATTATTCGTGAAGAACAATCAATTGAGTTAAAAGCCGAGGATTCAACACAGAATGAATCAACAAACGGTACTTCAAATTTAGATAAAACTGGTGAGATTTTATTTATTTATTAAAAATATGTTTTATTCTATTATTTCGATACATTTGAAGTTAGAAATGTCATAATAATAGAATTAACATTAGCATTTATTAATGTCAAAATTAATAGTTTGATATTATTTGCATTAGGATTAATTAATGTCAAGTTGTTAGCATTAAATTAGCATTATTTTTTTATTCTAATACATAAATTATCGACGACTAATTAGATCTCGGACATTCTAAGCTCAGAAGTTTCCAAAACTGAACAATTTTGTTCTATTATCGGAAACTCTCGACCATGTACTACTTTTATAGGTATAGTTGAAGCCACATATGTATTAGAATTAAAAATAATGCTAAGTTAATCTTAACAGCCTGACATTAATTAATTCTAATGTAAATAATAGCAAAGCATTAAGGTCAATTTTAATTAGGTTCGAACTGATCTAAGTCTGTTATCTCAATATTTCTGAAATGTCGACTCCTTTGTTATATGGAAGGTGATTGTGATATTTCAGAAATTTTCAGATAACAAAGTTAGATTAATTCGAACTTAAAAACAAATATCATCATTCGACTCAATACGGTTAATAATCCCTTTCTAGCTGCTTTTCCGAATCATTAAGATCAATTGACTCAAATCGAGGGTCTCAGGAAAAAGCTTATAACTCTCAAACGAAATAACCTAGGAATGTCAACCTTGCGTAGATCGAAAGAAAAGAAATTTTTCTATCTATTAGTTCTATTAAAAGTCTAAATCGAAAGCGCAATAGTTTCGGAATATCGTTTTCAATCAATCTCTACCAAGAACTCTTCTGATTAGTCCACTGCTGACCAATCAAATTTCGATAGACTTCGATGATCCCAGGTCTTCTCTTGTGAATGATGAAAACTTCAGGTCTCTATAATGTTTCTATCAAAAGTTATTGAAAAAAAAACATGAACAGATCTCATCTCTGATTGAATGCTGAAATCCAATAGTGACACATAACACCTGCTTTCTATCAATATCATTGAATAATTTAATAAATCTATTTTTTAATTATTTTTTCTTTAGAAACTATTCCATCCGATGTTCCAGCAAATTCTGAACAAATAGAAATAGCTCGTCTTTCATCTGTAATCACTACGCAAACAAATGAAAAAGCTGATCTGAATGCACGTCTTATTGCATGCCAACAACATTATGAAACACTGCTAAGTCGTCAAAAAGAAGAATATTCACGTGAAAAACAATCAACTGTTATGCGTTATGCTCAAGCTGAAAAAGCCAAATTAGATTCGGATAAACGTTGTGAAATTTTAGCAACAAAAAATCATGATTTATCAAAAGAAAAAGATAATTTACAAACAAAATTATCAGAATTTAAATTAATGAATACTAAATTACAACAAGCTTATGAAAATAAATTAACTGAATTAACAACAACAAAAAAAGAATTAGAAAAAATTAGAGAAGTAAATCAATCAATTGATGCTACTTTGAAATCAACATTAAATCATTTAAAAGGAGAATCATTACAATTAAAAGAACAACGAGAATTAAATGAAAGATTAAAAAAAGATTTGAATGAACAACATGAACTTAATGAACAATTAAATTTACAATGTAAACAACTCACAGAAGGTAACTAAAAGAATATATTATTAGGAAATCTAGAATTTGAGTGACATTCCTTGAGTCGTTGAATAAGAAATACAAAGTTTCATGAGATTAGGAAGAGAAAGAGTGAAATTTCTGGTTGGTTGATTATAAGACTACTCTACCTTGTTTCTGATCGAAATATTAATATCAAGTAGGTTATATGACCGACAAGATCTAAGTATCCTTTTCAATTAAAGACGAGATTCGAGCAACATTGCACTACAATTTATCAGTGGATCCCTTCTATACAACTAATTTGTGACATTTCTGGTTGGATTGGAAATTTGACCAACAATCATTGTCCATTTAAATTTGTTTAAGTATCGTTTTTTAGCTATTTCAAAAAATCTTTTACATATATTGGATGGAAGTTGCAATAAAACTTTTCTCAAAATATCGTGAAAATATTTTTGAAAAATTATTTCCTAAAGTACGAGTCTCATCATTTATTTCCTTCTTGTTATATTAAAAATGCGAATTCGATTCATTTTATTCTAATGAAAGACTATTCTCAAACAATGAATCCTCAAATAAGATCTTGTTGATTCCCTGATCAGCTGTTTTTTCTTTCTGTTGAAAATCAAACCCTTAAGAATATTCACGATGTACTCTGTTATTCTATGTCCATGTTTATGACAAGTTCTACTCACTAGAAAAACCATCTTCTATGATCCAGAGCTTTTGTGCTGATATTTTTCTCATAGGTAGGACTCAGTAAGACTAGATGAAGCCTAATAAGATAACGGTCCATGGAACTTTTTTCCCGAGTTATGAGCATTTTACTAGGTTTACGACTTATTACAAGAGATTTACTGAAAACTCAAAGTATAGAGTGTCGATCTGAAATTTTTCTCATACATAAATCTCATGACTTTTATAGCGGCCTAAATATCACAACCAAAACGAGTGCTTCTTTCTTGAAACAATGTGTTTTCATGAAAAGTCGATTTTCATGACATATGGTATGATGAGAGTGTTCCTTGAAGATCCGATGCCTCGAGAAAGAAGCACTCATTTTGATTGTGATACTTCAGTCGTTATAAAGATTATGGAATCTATATGAAGGAAAATTTGAGATCGAAACTCTATACTTTAAGTCTTCAGTAATCTCTTGTAATAAGTAATAAACTCAATAAAAGACTCATAACTCGAAAAGAAAGATCTATGGGCGATTATCTTAGTAGACCTTTTCTAGTCTTAGTAGGTCCTATTTATGAGAAAAATATCAGTGCAGAAACTCAGAATCACTTGGAACGGTTCCCTCGTCAGTCATTTTTTTATTCATGTGATCCCCCGCTAGTAATATATACCTGCCATATAAGCTGCACTCACTGAACACTTCGATAATCGATCATTTCTAGTTAAATGGAAGTAAACTTTTTACATGATGAAATCTATTGATCAATCATTCATTTCAGAAAGTTTTCCTTTCAACATAATTTCGTTCAGCTGACAAGAAAAACGGTTTCTGCGTACATGCAGCTTTTCCCAATCGTACAGAATCTACCTATGTGTGCCAATATGAGCTGGTGAAATCTTTTTTGTTTAGGAATTCCAATTAAGAAAAGTTTTCCTTGTAGCCAATAAAAGTAAAAGCTCTGTATACGACCTCTGTGATTTACGTATAGATAGAAAGTATCGAAACAACTTCTTGTTTTTTTAATAAATATATAATCTGTTAGTTTTTGGAGTGGAAACTGTTTATAATACTTGATGATTAATAAATATTACCTTTTTATATGAAGTAAATCGATTTCTCTTTCACTTTCTTCGAATATACGAATGAAAAAAGAGAATCCGCCTTTTCCTTTATTTTGATAGTAGGATAAATTTTTCGCTCTAGCAGCAGATTCTGCATCTCTGCGAGTCGCATAGATATATTCGTTCTGATTTTGAGAGTAAAGTAAATACAAGTAAAACAAAAAACGCACTCTGAGGTGAGCATAACCTAAATAAACTCAGAATTTAAGTGTTTGCCACATGTCAAGACGGAAGCTTTCAGGATAAGATTTTGAAGTAGCGAGTTAGCTGACCTCGTTACTTCTCACATCCTCATACTCCGCTTCAAACCTATCTTCCATCTAACCCTTCACCCCCTCACCTTCGCTGTCATATATATTGTGATACATGTACACTCATAACTATATGTATTGAGTCTAAAAACCTAGAATTTGAGATTTTTCTATTATGTGTTGTATGATTATGTTAGTACAAGTATGATTGATGAAAACATGCACTAGTAAATGACAGTACAAATTATATTTGTATTTACGCATCTTAGGCCAATGAAAATTGTTCGATGCGAAAAATAGTCAAAAAATTTAGAATAAGAGAACAAAAGCTTTCAGCTGCACCAGAAATAAAAGAATGTCAGTTCATGAATTATCTGTAGACCTTCTAATTGTGTAGTAGCACCAAAAGTACAGTGGACGCCGATCATTTTCCAGGATATTTTTAAACGACAGAAAAAGTCCTGGACTCGGGTTTGAAAATCTTGAATCTGATGAGCTCTAGTCATCCAAGAAATGTATAGGATGTGCTAATCATCGAATACAAAACGCCGGAAAAAAAAGTTTCGTATCTTCGGGACAACTATTCAATTCCTCTCAGAAAATTTCATTGAGAGTATCAAAGCACGATTTGACCGAGTTCGAAAATTTTGGACTCGACAGGCTCTAATTATCAGCGATCAATTTTCGCTTCCCCCATATCTTAGACTTCGTCTGTTGTTAATAGAGATAATAAGTTCATTATTATATATATATAAAGAATTGGTTTGTTTTAGCTGCTCAAGCAATACCAACTGATGATGAACGTGCACAAGCATTTGATACATTAACTCATGAACATAATGCTCTTAGAATAAAATTAACAAATATTCAAGATGAAAATAAATTATTTCGTGAAAAACTTAAATCATCTGATGAAGATCGTTTAGCATTAGAAAATGTTATTGAAAATTTTCGTCAAAATACTTTACGTGAAAAAGAATCAACAAAAAAATTATATGATGATTTATTAGCTGCACGTGGACAAGATTCTGTTGAAATATCACGATTAAGACAAATTGAACAACTTTATAATCAAACATTAGCTGATAATGCAGATTTAAGACAATTACTTGAAAAAGAACATCAATTACTTGAATTAACACAAAAATTAACAGAAAAAAATTCTATTTTACAAAGTGATTATGAACAACTTCAAATATTATGTAAACAAACATCTGTAGATTTTGAAAATTTAAAAAAAATTAATGAAGAACAAAAAAATCAAATATTAAAATTAGAAAATATTGAAAAATCCTTAAGAGATCAATTAAAAGAATTAGATGAAAAATATCAAACATTAAATAAATCATATGAACACAGTGTTAAACAATATGATGATAGTCTTATTGAAATTCAAACATTGAAAAAGAAACATCAAGCTAATACAAAAGATTTAATTAAACAATTACAACAATTACAAAAGCCAAAACTTACAAACCATAATCATGAACAATTACCTATTCCACTTACTAGGTAAACAATTCTTTTTTTTCAAATTGTAATTAAAGACAACCAAATCTATTCAATTTTTCTATAAAAATTTATTTCTTAAATATTTTAATTGATCAACACATCATCTATACATTTTGAAAGATCAAAGTTATTTTATTTCAATGTAAAATATCGTTCATTATATTTTATTTGAATCTTTATACATTCCTATATACTTGAACAATCCAGAGATATTGATCGATGCTGAAAATCTATTGCTGTCGTGATGAGATTCAAAACAAAATTTTTCAAATCTCATTGATGTGACTATACTGAACATTAAATTCTTGCTGCTAATCGATGAGATTCCTCGAATGTCAGAGTGTTACATTTCTGGATATTAAAATTCCGTACGAATAGCCGCCCCGATCAACATCTCTGAAAGCGTTGTATGTGTTGACTGAATTCAATAGAAGTTTTTAAAGCTATACTATTCACTAAATGAATTGTATTTCAGAAAGAGTTAAGGTAAAATCTATCACTAATAATCTGATATAAAATTCAATCGTTCGAATGAATCATATTATTTTTTCGAAAGGTTATAAAAGTATTTAATCACAGATTACCTATTGAAAAACACGGTAAATACAATAGGGCGAATCGTTTATTATTCGACATAGTTTATTGTTACTTGTTGAGTCGGATTAAATGCAATCGATAATAAATACTAAAAACAATTTTTATGATCTCTTTTTATTATACCTTTATGACGAGTAGACTTTTCTGCAATGATACATAGAATTATACGTGTTTGATATCTTTAATTCCTATCCTAATCTGATCAATTCTAACAAGCTTAAAACGAAGGCTTTGTTATTCTTTTGAATAAATTCAGAGCACATATGGCTAGAGATCTATGATTTTTATTATCCAAAAGAGCGAAGTCGAAAACATGAATCTATGTAGAAACCAATCTTTTAAGCACAATTCGTATTTATCACTTTACAATAAATTTATCTACATCCACTAGAATAAGCTTTAAAATATTCAAAACCTCTATTTGCTTTTTTTTATCACAGGGAATCATACTCTATTAAACAGATTAGTTTTTTCTGTTTCATAACTTAAATTGTTCATTGTTATGAATTAGTGAAAAATTATCTAACTAAATTCATTCGATAAAGCGTTCCACCCTTTGCATACTTCGACCAGAGAAATAATTTTCAGTAAAACAATCACCAATTCTTCTACTTGACATATGAGTTAATTATAGGTTCACTATTTTCCATATCGAAATAATTCCTATTAGTAATCTCGATAAAAAAAAAGTATATTTATCATTTCATTCTTTTTGAAAAACTGTATGAATCTCATTAAAAAATCGACTAGAAAGTTTTTGTTGGATCCGGTGTACGCTGTTGTGTAACAGAAGTTTATTACCAAAGTTAGAAAAGATACTTTCACATACATTAATATCAAATGTTAGATAGAATATACCAAGAGGCAACATAATACAGTTAGAAACTACATGAATTATTATATATAAGTAGGTATGCGCCATGAAAAGCTTCCAAAAGGTATGTATCCGTAGGCGTTCCTTGCCCATGGGCACAAACTTTTCAGAGACTTTTTATAACTCACCAAGGCCTACTTATGGGCAAAATATCAGTTCAAAAGGACGTGAACATGTCGGAATATTTCCTTGTTAATTCTGACTAGTTGACTAGGTCGCTAGGTAATTGAGACTGATGCATGCCTATATAATAGAAGGAAAAACCGAAAAAAAAACAATTGGGATAATGCTTGACACAAAGAAAACGAGAGAACGAACACGGATAATTAATATCTTTAGTAGAATTTCTCTCCCACAAGATATGTTAAATATATGCTTAAATAATTTTTAATCATCTCTTTTGAATCATTGTTTATATTTTGATAATTTAGTCAAGCAAAATCCATTATAAACAAAGAGAATTCCAATGATAATATATCGAGTCGTGGCTCTCCAACAGAGTCATATAGTTCATTGAATGATATTACTCCTATTTCTATGTCAACACCTGAGCATGTTTCATCTCATCCATTAACTCATCATCAACAACAGCAACAACAACAACAGCAAGTTTTACCTGATGAAGAACAAGAAATAGTTGTTAATATTGTTGATATCGATCGTCAAAAATTAATTGATAAATTATTAAAACAACAAAAATTACTTGTACGACGTAATGAAAAAATCGAATTTTTAAATGATCATATACAATTATTAACACAAGATTTACAAAATAAACGTAAAATAATTCAAACATACGCAATGAATGAAGATAGTTTTATGTATACATCAAATGAATCAGATTTAATTAAACAACAATTAGCAAATAAAGCTCGAAATTCATCATCATCATTAATGGCAACATTATATAATCGTGCAGCAACAACTGTTAATCAAACAACAAATAAATTTTTTGACCAATCATCACCCATGACACTTGAAACAGCATTAGATATTATGGGAAAATTACAAGCAGTTTTAGAGGATACACTTTTAAAAAACATAACATTAAAAGAAAATGTTGATACATTAAGTAAAGAAATTGAAAGATTGTCAAAACGAACAATAAAATAGATCTGTTTTTTTTTTTTGTTTTTATTCTTTGTGGATGCTGTCAGATTTATTTATTTATTTTTTTTGTTTTCGTCGTGCAACAGTGGAATTATTAATTGTATTAATATAAATATATGACAAAATATATTTATTCCTCATTGCTTCTTAATAGAAAATATCAAATAATTTATTTCATTTTGTTTTCTTTTTCTCAGATTAAAACAATGCCAATTGTGAAATCAACTTCAACAGTAAGTGAATCAACAACAAATGAAGCACGTGAAGCACTTGATTGTCTTCATGAATTATCACAATTACTCAATACTGGCTTAGATAAAAAAACATTAACTGCATGTGTTAGATTACTTGAAGCTGGTGTTCATCCTGATGCGCTTGCACAAATTATTCAAGTTCTTAGGACAGAAACACGACCAACAAAGCTTTAATTTCATTTATTACATAAATTAACTTTTTCTTTTTTTTTATAAAGTTCTTTATTATATCTGATAAATATGAACAAACATTTTCTCTATCTTGTTTTATATTTGATTGTTTTTATTTTATCTTGCATGATATTTCGAATGTCAGAAAATCCTATCTTAAATGTTGCTTTTGAGAATTAATATCATTTACAGTAGAATTTTATATAAGTATAAATTTAAGTAGCAGGTAATATTACATTTTTTTTTATCATTATTATTCTTAATTAGGAAAATGATTTATAATGAACAAAATAACAAATTTTATGATATAATCATTATGACTGAAATTTAATTATAGAATCAATCTATTATCAGTCAAAGGTATATTGCTTATTATTCTTCGAAGTAAAAATTCTAGTAAATAGAAACATTTTGGAAAAGGCAAGAGTCTATAGTAATATTATATTATTTTCTCAATTGTAACTACATATCTATGTCAGTGGCGGAGCTCAGTCTCCCTCAGTGAGATTTTTGAAGAAAAAAAATATATTGTTCAAAAATCTCACTAGGGAGCTCACAAAAATTCTTAACAGGGAGCTAAGTGTCCCTGGCTTCGCCACCAATCTATTTATGTTATCTTGAAATATTCCCCGACGGATGAATGCGATCATTCGACAAAATCTAATGAGAATCTGTAGGACGGAATCATTAATGTATCCGATGAAATCCGACACTCGGATTGCTCTGTCGTTAAGAATTTCAAGTTCACCTTCACCTAGCCGGATGAACTATGTGTGTGACAGAACATATCTATGAATATATAGAAGTGTCAGTTCATTCATGTAGTCAATTGCGCAAGTGAACTACTCAGCAATCAGTTACATGGAGATCACTCAAAAACGTGAGCTCAGCTAGTAAACTTGAAATTTAGAGTTCAGTTTTGGATACCCATTTACCAAATTAGTGCTCATTTAATTCGTACACATTTAATTACTATTCACTTAATTAGTACTAGATTCTAACACTAAGGATTCGGATGTGATTTTTGCATCTGGTTTTCGACTATATTTCTAGTGGATTTTATACAATGCTAATAGGATATGATAAGATCCGAATGTTGAATTGATTCTCTTAGGTTATTGAAATAATATAATTTCGATATTTTTTTACATTCTGCATGCGAATAAAGTCTCTGAATATATATATATATCACTACATTTACATAATCAAATTTTCTTTACACAATAGTTTTTCTTTGACTTTCCTGTCGTTCATGATATTTATAAATCAATACAAATTTTCTTTCTAGATTTTTGTTTGAATAATCTCAAAAGTCCAAAGAACAAAAGTCATTCTTCATTTTTTTTTTTTCGTTTGATTAATTATGAATACATTATCATATCATCATTCAACATCAAGAGAAGTATTATTAAAACGTTTTCGTTTATGGAAACGTCAATATCTTCATGTAGTTATATACACATCATTATTTTGGATATTTGTTGATGTATTTTTTATAATGTTATTTTCTGATTGTACAAAAGAAGTTATTATTCCTTGTTCATCATCTTTATCAACTGATAAATATTCTACAATAAATGATCGTAATTTTCAATTACATCCGAAAATAATTATTGATAAAATAAACGAAAGAAATAAAATTATATTTGATAATAAAACTATGATTGAAACAACAAAGAAAAGTGTTGTTCCTAAATGGCAGAACATTGAGCCAGGTATAAATTTCATTTTGATTAGAAAAATAAAAACGAAAAAAGACATATGTTTTTTTTTCTATAATAGGAGCAACGAATCCAACGAATTGGCATGGTGAAGCTGGTCGTGCTGTTGTTATTCCAGATGAATTAAAAGAAGAATCAAAAAAACGTTTTGGAGAAAATCAATTTAATATTATTGCTTCAGATCTTATAGCTCTTAATCGATCAGTTAAAGATCAACGATCAGCAAGGTTTTTATATTTTATTTCAATTCATCTTTAATTACTTTCTTTTTTTATTTTAGATGTCGATCACATAAATTTCCATCTGATTTACCATCAACATCAATTATTATTGTATTTCATAATGAAGGTAATTCAACATTACTTCGAACATTAACAAGTATTATTTTACGAAGTCCAATACAATATATACATGAAATAATCATGGTTGATGATGCTAGTATTGCTCGAGGTAAGATTGATTTCCATATTTCGTTGTTTTTTTTTCTCTCATATTTGTTCTTTTTTATTTATTTATAGACTATCTTAAAGATCCATTAGAAGCATTTACTAAAGAATTGCCTGTTTCAGTTCATATATTACGAAATACTGACCGATTAGGATTAATGAAATCTCGATTACGAGGTAAATAGAATAGAAATAAAAATAATGATAGAAAAAGTATTCTTGTCTAATTTAAAGGTGCCGAAATAGCAACTGGTGATACATTAACTTTTCTTGATGCTCATATTGAATGTTCATCTGGATGGCTTCAATATTTATTATATGAAGTTAAAAAAGATCGGTATGTATTAAGTTTGATTTATTAAACGGATATTCAATAGACATAATTCTCAATTAGTTTTCATATCTATGAATTTGCTCAATTTTTAAAAGAAAAACATAATATCAACTTAAAGAAAATCATTTTCTGGTGATTAAATATGATCCAACTATCATGACGAGACTCCCATTCTTTGCTGCTGTCCACATAACTGGTTGTACAGGTCCGCAAAGTATTCTTTCCATCGATTTAGAATGTCTTCTTCTCGTGTTAGGAGTCGACTAGTGGTATCTTTTACTGAACGAGTTGGTTTTTTGTCGACGAATGATTTGCCAGAATACTATGTTTGTTGAGTAGTAGTTGGATTTCAGTTGATGATCAAAATTGTCCCAAGACCTCGCTTGTGCTTCAACCACAAGTTTCTTTGTATTGTCTCGTAGTTGTTTATAGTTTTGCCAATTTTCTTGTGTTTACCATTGTATCCATTCACGATATACTGTTTTTCTTCTTACTAATAGCCGTACGAACTTCTTCAGTTCATCATGTTGTTTTCTTTTGTCCATGTTGAAGTCCAACATGCTCTCGTTTGACACGCATTATCGTCACAATTCGTTGTATGTTATCCGATACAATGATGAAGTCGATCAATGATCGCTGAGTCATTGAGTCTCTTGTATTACATCATGTATATATTTGCGGATTTTCTTGTGTTGGAAAAAAAGTATTCATTATCGATAAACCACCACTAGCACAAAAATCTAACAGTTATTGACTTTAGTTATTGAGATCTTTATCACCATTTTGTCCAATCACGCCGTTCCCTATTTGTGAGTTGTTTCCAACATGTGTATTGAAATCTTCAATTAATAATATAGAATCTGTCACCGGGACGCTTTCCATAGTTGTAAGAACTAAATCAAGAAATGTCGTGTAATCTGCTTCGGTGTTAGGTGCATAAACTTGAATAACTGTTAGAATTGTCTTCTTTAATTGAAGTCTTAAAAGAGCAACTCTTTCTTTGATCGGTCTCCATTCCAGAACTGCATCGGCCAGACGAGGATGTAAGAGTATTCCTACTCTAGCTTGAGCATGAATTGTTGGATCGACGCTGGAATAAAATAATTGCCATCCATTGTTCAGAATCAATAATCTTTTGCCTTTCCGTTTTGTTGATGAAATTCCAAGTATATCTAGTTGATATTTTTTCACTTCTTCAATTAATTCTATTTCTTTGTTAGTAAGTGACGTTACATTTCATGTATCTATAGTCATTTTGTACTGATGTTGTCGATTCTGACGTTTAGTTCTACGAAATGTGCCGTTTAAGCATCGCGCCATTTCCTCGTGCCCTCTAAGACAGTTGGCGAAACTATCACTATCCACTTGCTGATGTTGAGTAGTTAGTCTCCGTAACTTTTTCGGATGGATTCTAGATCCGAATGAATGATAGAATAGTGATATATTGAATTAGATGTTGTCACTCTGTCCATTATCTTTTCCCATATTTTGATCTAAAAAAAGCATACAATTTGGTTATTGATAGAATTGATTCCATCATAAGAGTTTTCCGATTGATGATTCCTTAGATTAATTGTTGTTAAATGAATGGATTTGATCTTGATCGAATACATATTGTTCTAAGAATATCATTCTTCTCTAGTTCGATAATCAATCTATTTCTCTACAATGACTGTTTAGTTTAAAATTTATGACATAAATTAGAGATGAACCAATCTGATGTTTTGGCGACTAATACCGACTTTATGTCTGAAACTGATCATTTGATCTGTGATTCAGTTCTTATAATTCATTGAGTAGTGAAATATTGATATTCATTTTGAATGAATTTAAGAATTGAAGAACAAGTTATGACAGAATACTTTGATTAAATTTAAAAATGATATGTTTTTAATCATTTTAGAACAGCTGTTGTATGTCCTATAATTGATGTCATCAATGATAATGATTTTTCTTATTTAACTGGTAGTGACATGACTTGGGTATATCGAAATACAAAACTATTTGATTTAATACAAAATTTTTTGTTTTATTTTTTAAGGGTGGATTTAATTGGAGATTAAACTTTCGTTGGTATCCAGTACCGCAACGAGAGGAAATTCGTCGAAATAATGATCATTCATTACCATTATTGTATAATTGAAATATTGATAGGATTTATTTTTTTCTTAATTTATTTGTTTGTTTTTTTAAAATTAAATAGGTCTCCAACAATGGCTGGTGGTTTATTTACAATAGATCGTAAATATTTTTATGAAATTGGTGCTTATGATCCAGGTATGGAAGTGTGGGGTGGTGAAAATCTAGAAATGTCATTTCGTATTTGGCAATGTGGTGGAAAAGTTCTTATTCATCCATGTAAGAAATATTATTGAAATTTAACATTACTATTTTAATCGAATATTTCTTAAAGGTAGTCATGTTGGTCATGTATTTCGTAAACAAACTCCATATACATTTCCTGGTGGTACTGGTAATGTTATTTATCATAATAATAAACGTCTTGTTGAAGTATGGCTTGATAAATATAAAGATTTTATTTATACAATTATACCTGGTTTGTATTTATTGAAAGAAAAACAAGATTTGATAGATTTTTTGTGTTTTGTTTTTTTGGTAGAATTAAAACGTGTAGATGCTGGTGATGTATCAGAACGTCTTGCACTTCGTGAACGTCTTAAATGTAAAGATTTTCAATGGTATTTGCAAAATATATATCCTGAAAGTTCAATGCCTGTTAATTTTTATCATGTTGGAATAGTAAGGTTGATTTTATTTTTTCTCTTCATATTTTCAGTGATATTTCAAAATCATGTTAAACTTTTTTGTTACATATAACTCCTATCTTTCGGGTGAATAGTTAAAAAATGAAGTATATGATTGTGCCGATTCACTCGGACTTACCAATGACAATGGAATTGAACACAATGCAGGCATTTTACCTTGTCGCCATCAAGGTGTAAATCAGGTGTGTATAATAATCTTTATCTTCTTTTTATTTTATTTCAGATACGTATCGAGTCAATGTTTTGTTTGACTGTTCATCATGTCTACGGTAGTCAAGGGGCGAATCGTACGGCTACATTAAATACACAAAAATGTATTGATCGAACGCATTCCCCTACGACTGCCATTTATCAGGTGCAGTAATAGAGCATGTTTAGAAAACAAATCACTATTGCATGATAATGTTGCTTTGTATTTTTAATCGTCGATGAATGTCTTTGTTATGAACAAATAATATGATGTAATTGGAATGTAAAACATCTGCATGCAAAAATATTATTGAAAATAATGTTTCTTTTGAACAGAAATGAAAGTGAAAGATGTAATTGATTTAAGAAATCATGATGCTCATGGATAGAGCCTATTGAATCTACTGCTAAATTGAGTTAATATAAGTTCTTAAATTCAATAAGCTCTATCTGCCATTTAATGCACCTTTTATCTTGAAATATAATAATAAATAATGCTAGAACAATGCTGAACATTTTTATCTATTGAGAATATCACTTGCTCGATATTTTCAATCGAATTATTCTAATTAAATCTCTGTATAAAAATGATTTCTTTTCATCATTATATTTGATTTGTACACGAAAAAAAATTTTGATTTTATATAGATTTTGGTTTATTCCAAAAAAAATGAACTTCGTTTTGATGATCTTTGTATGGAAGCTAATGCAAATAGTGCTGTTAAATTACAAAAATGTTCAGGAAATGAAAAACAAATATGGAATTATAATAATGAAGTATGTTTAATCTTGTTTTGTTTATTATATCAAATAAACTTTTCTTCTAGACAAAACAAATGAAACATGTTAAATCTGAACAATGTATGGCTACTGATAAGACAAAAAGTCCTGGTCATTTAATTCTTGGTAAAGAAAATTAAAGATAAAATAAAGATTGTTTTCAAAGAAAAAATTATATTTTAGTTTCTTGTAAACAAGAAAATAATGCAAATCAACGATGGTATTTGGAACAAGCAGTGTTAACATAATTATGTTTTAAACTAATACTCGTATAATTTCTTGTTTTTATTTAGTTATTAATTACTCATTTTTTTAATATTTATTCGTTCCTTTTATCTTCTATTGCATTTGAAATATGTCTATCTCGTGCTATTAATAACATTCCATATGTTGTTTTCTTTTTCTAAAAATAATTTGTGAACTTGATGAGATTCTCTAGTCGAACACGGCAATCTCTTCCAATATATTGCTTCTTATTTTAAACGGATTTCTTGAAAAAAAAAGACAGAAACTATAGTTGATATTTATTTTCTTTGTTATTATTATAAAAATGTTTCGTTTGTTATCTCACCTATAATAATCATTCAAAAACTCCTTATTTTTATCACTTCATCTTTGAGCATTTCATATTTTACTTTTTCAGAAGTTTTCTTTTATTTGTTCTTCTATTGATTTTTAAATTAAATATACTGGTTTATCGAAAGAGAAGGATAATCTATAATAAAAAAAAAATGATTTTCAAAGAATAGACATTTAGTTCAACGTTAGAATAGAAATGTTTTGTATGATGGAAAATTCTCCATTAATTATTTGATTAATTAAGAAATTGAAACTTAAGTTAGGCAATTTAGCCGAAAATATGTCGAGCTTTTAGGTTTCTCAACTGAATGTCCCTAACTATGTACAAGAAAGAAATCGCAAAAATTCTGCATTTCCTTACTTTTGGACTACCTCCTATAGTGCAGTAAGGAATATTTCAAAAAATACTTCACTATTCGACTTCTTTTTTAAACATGTCGAATGTAGTTCTTATTCATCGTAGAGCATCAAATTTGAAATATTAATCCAATAGCAACCTTCGCTTAAGATTCAAAAGATGTTCTAAGATATGCTGTTTTTTTAATCCATAATTTATATTCACTGTAACACTAACTAGCAAAGAAATTCTTGCTCACAAATTAGCTTTTGTATGTGATTTACATAAGAGAAAACGTCACTATCGATGATGAAAAACTAAATGGAATATTTTAATTTTTATATATTCGTTTGAGTCATTTTGAAAAATTTTGGAATAATCTTATTCGGATCTTTTCTACAAGACTTTGTCTGATCTTATTTAACTGTAAATCCATTCACTAAATTTCGTGACTAAGTATTTCGATATTTGTTTCTTTCATCGCCAATAGAATAGTTTCAAGCAATTTTTTTAAACAATTTTTTGATGATTTCATCTTAATCGAGCAATTGGCAGATATAATGTGCTAAACACACCAAGAACGTGTACAATGTTTCAAAACAAAAAAAAAAAATAATAAAATATTATTGGACCGTTTGTCCTGTTGTATTTGCTGCCTCTTCAGCTTGTGCCATTTCTCCAGCTTCACCTGCTGTCTTTTCAGTACCCTATAAAAATTAAAAGTTTAAAAAAAAAGAAAAAACTTTCTATTATGAAAAACTAACTGTAACAGTTTTTCGATCTCGTTTTCTTTTTTCTTCTTCAACGATTTTCCAAAAATCTTTTTCAGCTTTTTCAATAGGGTCAGCTTCTTTTAATTCTGCTTCAACAGTTCCACCATCAGTCGTTGTTTTTTCAGTTTTCTTTAACATATCAAAAACAAAAGCAATAAATAAACTAAACAATCAAAAAAAGTTTTTACCTCGCCATGTGCTGATTTTCCTCGAATATCTCGTCTTGCTCGACCTCGAGCTTCAAGAATTTTTGCACGTCGTGTTTCACGATCAAACATCTAATTAATTCAATAAAACAAAACAAAAATGTTCTATATTCTAAAACACTTACTCCATTCACCAAAGCTTTTTCACTTTTTCCTTGTATACATAAATTATCCGATACTTCAACTAATGTTACTGTACCATTTTGTGAACCACAAGCAACAAGGCGACCATGAGGTTCTTGCACACGTAAACAATAAAGTGCTTCATCAACAACTTGAATTGATAAAGTTGGTTCATTTTGTTTAAATAATATATCCCAAACATCCAATGTACCTATGTAAAAACCAAAGATAGATAAATATTTTTTTTTTCCTCATGATAAAATTATTTTTGTTACCATCCATTTTAGTTGTAAAAAATATAGAAGATCGTGTTGGTGACCATTGACCATCGGTAAGAGCATGCACACTTGGTCTAGAAGAACCAAATAATAAGTCCTTATTTTTTCTTACTTTAATAAAAGAGGATGATATTACTTTGTCCACATAATACAATCATCTCGCATTTCTTCTGACCAAATACGTACAGTCCAATCGCCAACAGATAAAAAAGTTTTTAAAAAATTTGGATGACGTTGAAGTGCATAAACAGGACCCCAATGTCCTGGAAAAACATTACCAATTTTTTCAGCGTCATTTTTTCCTTTACGATTACATGATACAATTCGACCTTGTTCTGTTCCAACCATAAATTTTGTTGGCTATATAATTAAAATTTTAATTAAAATTTCTTAATAAGTTCAACTTACAATTGTTGGTTCATATTCTAATGACATAGCACCAAGAGCATGTTCTAATCGACCTTTTTTTTCAATATCTAATATTAATGTGTCAACCGGTTCTGATAATTTTTTTGTATCCCACCAAAGAACCTAAATTAATAACTATCGATATAAGAAAATTATATCAAAGAATTTTTTTTTGTCACTTTGCCATCAGTCGAAGCAGAAAAGAATTCTGTGCCTGATTTTGATTGTAACCATACTGTTTTATAAGCTGGATCACGATGACTATTTTCAATAAGTGATTGTTCAACAGCTGTACTACCCTTTCTTGTATCGAATATACCTATATAATAATATGTATTCAATAGAATCGATACGAGTATTAAACTTACAAACTTGACCATTATAACAACCTCCAACAAGTTGATGTGTATCTTTTGGATTAAATTCAATACAAACAAGTGGAGATATTGGTTTTAAACTAAGATCAGGTTTTGTTGGATTTGCTATTTTAAATTAGACAATGAATAAGAAAATTAATTTTAAACTATGTTTTATTTTTATTTACCAGTATCCCAGATGTATGAATCTATAAATGAATCATTTGCACCGGATTGAAATTCAAGATTACAATAGGATACAGCTAATTTTCGTGCTCCATCAGCATACCATGAAATATGATTTGCTGCACGTCGAGCATTATGTGGATCACTAAAAATTTTGAAATTTTAATATGAAAATATATTTAACTTTTAATTTTACCGATAGATATTAACGGTTTTAGCATAAGGTGCTTCTTCAACAACGTCAGGCTCTAAATTTTGAAAATAATTTTCATAAATATCAACAGCATTATTTTGTTTGATTGTATGTTCAACTAACTAAATCAATATATTTATATTATCAATTAAAAATAAAACAAAGAAGTAAATATTTACTTGTCCAAGGGATAACATAGATCGAGTATAACCATCTTCTTTTTCTGTTTTCTTTCGAAAACGTGATGTTTGATCAGGTTCAAGTGAATTTATATCTTTTGGCCAACCACCTTCAACATGATTTATGCCTCGATTTTCTGTTTCAAATCGAACTGTATTCACCTGTCGTTATCAATAGATTTATTTAAAAAAAAAATGAACGAAATTTAATTTCGAAATTTATACCCAATGTTCAGAGAATTCTCGCACGTTTTGTATGGCAAGTTCAACGGGATTACGAGAAATATATTCACGAGATAGTTCAAGATTGGGTGGAATATCAGCAATTAATTCGACAGGTCGATCTGTAAAAATGACTTGACGACCAAATTCTGATCGTTTCTTTGTGTAAACATATTGAATATCCATTATTAATGTAAACTTGTTGAAAAAAAGTGATCAAACAACGAAATGAAAATAATACCATCAACATCAATTTCGCATTTTAATCAACAGAGCAACCACCTCTTTACTTGTAACATTTTCAACAAGATGTCGTTGTAAAACATTTGATTAACAGTTCTTTTGTTTCATTAATCTGTCCCTTACATTTTGCGTCTTATAAACATGAAAATCATATTTTAAAAGGTTGCTATTTCTTTAGCACGAATAGTGTTTATATCCAATACTTTTAAAGATCCATCTCTCATCACTCGAATTCAGTAGATATATTGTTATTTTCTGAATATAATCAACTGCTTTTGCTCGAAATTCATTTTAGTATTTGTTCTTGAAACCCTAAAAATTATTCGATGAAGCCATGACAAATGTCAATTTAGTAAGAACAAATAATTGTTCGGAATATTAACTACATAAAAAATACAATCAGTAAATAAATCTATAAAATTAATTCCATAAATAACTATATTTTATTCTGCAGAGTATCCGATAAATAACCTACCAAAAAGAAAATCATTTATCTCCGCTGTATTTCGACCAATTGAGCTGATTTTTTACTGATGGTAGAGAAGATTACTAAGTTTTTATTCGCAAAGATAAAGTTTACAAATGATGCTGAAAACCATTACTAGTGACTTCAATACCGAAGTGAAACCTTTTCCGGTTTGGTAAAACAGTATACGACATTTTTTTATTCAGTTACCTCATTTTTTTTCGAAATTTGCAATCTTAAATCATCAAGATCTTCAACTCTTACCTTACAAACACTTGTTCGGATTTTTTCTCATAAAAAGAAGTGTAACAGCATAAAGCTTAATGACTGCGAAGACTATGAAATCATTCACATCTTGCAGGGTGTGGATGCGGGTGTGACTGAATATATGCTCCACATCCACACCCAATATATTTTCATTAATGCCACTATTTTTTATGTAGTCAATCTTTCGAGTGTTATAGTCAAAAGGTGATCAATGTGGGATTGTTGTTCTGGAACTCATTCTTAGTATATGTACCAAGTGTTGACTTTTATTTCTTTTTGTTTGTTAATATGAAAAAGAAAGTTATGATTATTTGAAATAGCAAAAGTTCATCAGAGGTGATTTCAATTTTGATTTCGATTTGGCTCCGAACAATTTTTCCAGTAGATCCGACTTTCGATCCCGACTCTGTCGGAGTCGAAGTCAGAATCGGGTTTCTGAATTCCTCACAGGTCTCTATCAATAAGGTAGTATTTTTCTTTTTCGCTCTCTTTCTTTTGCAAACGAAAGAATAGCGATTACAAAAGATTCCTCAATGTATGTCATTTGGTGCAAAAGTTAATATCAGGTAATACATAGTCTACTATAGTTTTTCTTTTCACATTCTGAAATAAAATATATGTGTTCATTATTTTATATATCATCCTTTCAATTTTGTTTTGCATAATATTAATCTTGGATTTTTCTTATATTAGAGAATTGAGAAATAAATAGCATTGCTATGTCTTAACTAAATTCATGTATAGTCTGAAGTTATTAATAGTAATTTTTGTTGCAAATAAAATATGTTTACCTGGAAAAATATCCATATGGTGAATTAATTTAAATAAAGAACCAATATTTTTGATAAATTTGAATGAAAATTATTGAATTTTTTGAGATCTTTGAGATCAAACTTATTTAATCTCAAGAAACTCAACTTTTCCCTCTTGGATAGACTTTTATAAAATAAACTCAAGCTAATATACTTGTGATACAAGCTGATACTAGTCTTGAAATAGCCAAGAAGTTGTAAAGGATAGCTTTGGCGTACTCTTGAAGTACGAAATTTCCACTTTTTCTCCTCTTGAGAAAACCTTATCATCTATATGACAGAGCATCACGGGATTAAAAACCAACATGTTGAAAAACTCGCTAGATCGTTATAGACATATTGAAATCTCTGTCACAAGCTGTCAGTAAATTAAAAGAATATCAACATGTTTGTAAGAATTTTTAGAGCAAGCTGGAGAAGTATGGAATCAATTTTCGCATCATATAATTCAACATTCATTAACATTCATGTTTCACAAAAACATTATAATAGTGAAACAGAAGCCTTACGTAATTTCGGTAGTGATTCTGACGTAGGTATGACTAATCGAGAGATTAGTTTGGCTATTATAGACTGGGAAAAAATGAAAAATGACTCATGCTGGTCTATCGATCGATGCGATCCGAACTGGCCAGTTTAGATCGGTACCAGTATCGATAATGAAAAAACTCTATCGGTTATAACACTGGCAGCAACAATAACAAAAGCTCACTTACTACACGTTTCTTTGTCATATGCACTTTATTGTGTTATTATTTTTCTCATTTATTCAAATATACTTGTTACTTATGTTTTTAAATCCATTCAATACATATGAAACAATATTATAATATTTGAAAAATTCATTATCAATCATAAATATATCTATGATAAACTTCGACTAATCAAGTTAGATTATTTCAAAAGAACTACAGTAGTTTTTTTTTTGCTTTAATAAATATTAATATTTTATCTCCTTCTGACATGATGCTATACATGATCATTATTCTATGCGATGTTTGCTTTCCAAAAAATTTTGACCAGAAAAATAACGAAAAACAAAGAATATTAGTGTATAGCTTACTAAAATCTCTATCGAATCTTTAGTCGAAGATCTCACAATCAAATGCTGTTAGAAGCATTTAGGAAAGTTGAACCTTCATGGCATATTTCAAAACATCGATAGAAACCCTTTTTTTTCACCCTACGTATAATTTATGTCTACTATTTCTAGATGATTCATTTATGAATTTGTGGAAAATGCCTTACTCTTTCAAATGAGATTATTTCTAAACAGACAAACAAATTTGTTGGATCGTTTATTACTAAAATATAGTGTTATGAGTTGGGTGAAAATATAGTCTAGTAATCTGCATTGAAACTCATTGAATCGATTTCTAAATAAAGTAAATTTGGCATCAAAAGATTCGCCGTCTCATTGTGCATTGATATACATATACAATTGTTTTGAAAACCTATAGATGAGCTGATTCATATTCTTATGTGTTCGCATGATTTTCAAAGGTGTGCTTTCTTTTATTTTCTTAATTTTTAGTCAATGAAAGAAAAGTCGAGATAATGACACTTCGTGCTTTTGTTTTCTCGTGACAGAAGGAAATTACTTTAATAAATGAAATGGAATACGTGAACAAACATACAGCGTCTATTTTTCTTTTGAATATTATCAATAGTAATATGATTGACACATTGAACAATTAAGAAGGCTCGTACGAATTGTTTTTTCAACAATGAGTATAAATAGGTAATAAAGTATAAATTTGTTATTCCTTCATTGTTCATATTCCGTAGTTGAGTTTAAAAAATTCTGAATAAAATCCTGATTGGTTTGTATACAGCAAGCCAACTCTTGAGTAGATATGTATCTATTTCAACATTCACTTATTCAAATGTTAAGTACAAAAAATCTATGTTCTATGTTTACTGTGCAAAAGTTCATTGCTTTTTATTATTACCGAAAATATAATTAAGCTTGAAAATTTGATAACAAAAGTATGCTTACATCCGTTATAAAAGTATTTAATTACTTTTTAATGTAGCACTTTTCTAAAGTGAAGTGTCAAGTCTGAAATTATATATCCGCCTACTTTGATTAAAAAATAAAAATAAAATTGCATTTGCACTGCTCTCTTGATTTTATGTAGAACCAATTTCATTTTGTTGAATTAAAAAATAAAATGACAATTGACTTCGAAGATTCATCATCAACACCAGAAAAGCTTGCTTTATTGGTATTTATTGCTGCTATTGTAGTTGGAAATGTAAGTTTTATTTTCGAATAATAAATATGTATTTATATCAAATTTAGATTTGTGTATTTGTGACATATTTTATTCGTGCTAATGGGAAACATTGGTCAAATATATTTGTATTAGGTATGGCATTTATTGATTTATTTATCGGTGGTTTTGTTCTTCCTATGCGCTTTCTAAGCGCTTATGGAAGTCCATTAACATCAAAATTATGTGCTGCTTTATCCATTGGTGAATCATGTGCATTGGCTGCTGTTATTTATGCTATTGGTTTTATGGTTTATACACGTCTATATAATTTAAAACAAACATCAATAGATATTCGTCGTCGGTATCTTATAATGTTATTATTAATATCATGGATTGTTTTATTTCTTTTCTATGGTGTTCCATTTATGACGAACTATTCAAGTTACCTTTTAACAGTAACATCATCAACAACAAATATAACAACTTACTGTACAACATACACAACATCTATTTATCATCCAACCTGGATGGCTTATACTGAAATTGCAATCATCTACTCATTGCCACTTTTATGTATTTTTACTGGTCTTATATTTCTTATACGTCATTTATGTAAACCCAGACCACCTAGACTTGATAAAGTTCAACGTAAACAATATCGTGAACAAAAACAAATGACATGGCATATTGTTATTTTAAGTATAACATTTATTCTTCTGTGGTTACCTTGGATTACAATTCGAATACTGATTATATTTCACAATACAAAAGAAATTCAACGTGCTTTACAAATAACTTATTATATTCTTATATTAAAATCTGTATTTTTTCCTATCTTATATGCTTCAACAAACGCATCATTTCGTGGCTCATTTGCTATTTATAGACATAAGCGAATAACAACTAATAATCGTGTATGGACAATAAATGAACATTTCGGATATTAAATATATATATATATGTATATATGTATATTTGTTTGTTTGTTCATATATAAATATATAAAGACAGAAAGATTTAAAATTTTTGTTCATTACAAGTCTTAACTTATCCATACTCTCCTATACAATTCATTCCAATTAATGAAGAATCTACAGATATTGTTTCAGGTTCGAGTATAGACGATGATGGTTCAGTACATGTTCGAGAATGAGAGGTTTAATCAGTATTATATGATGTTGTACATGTGAACTATTCTGTCCAATGTGAAAAACCATCATTAACTGTAGCCTAAATATTTTTTTATCTCAGACTAAATTGATATGAATAAAATGTTACCAATACGTCGAGTAATAATAGCAACTAAATCATTATTACCAGATGATATTTATGATCGATCATATTTGCAATGATAAAAATTTTTTTCTATACCATCACATACAATAGCAGGGTAACATGTTGAATTCTTTAGAATTGGATAAGGAATAGCTTAATATAGAAAATAGATAATAATAGAAATTTGATCATAATTTACTTACCCTATTATGCTGCACGAGTAAGACCAATAGATATACAAACCTTGATGATAAAAAAAAAACTTTGTTGACTTTTCTTTCTTTTGACAACAGTTTATCTTACTAAATCAGCCATATATTTGACTGTCACACTACTATCTTACGGAACACATAAAATATTATCTTCTTGTATGGCTAAATAACCTTTCATTGCATATTGGTCATGTAATGTTTCTTTGATTCCTAATAGAAAATAAATAAATTTAAAAAAAAAATCTAATTTTAGTTATTAGTGAAAACCGTACCAACGACACTTTGATAATGAGCTCCACCACAAGCTCGTTGTTTCAAAGTATAATTTCCATAATTTGAACCTGGTGGAATACATGAATGATTACATTGTTTTATACCAATATCACAAACTGTCGAACACGGTGTCCGTGATAACCATAATCCATATACTTAACAAAAATAATATTTCAAATCAGTTCTATTAGAAATAATGTCAAATCTATTTACTTGGATATGTTGTTATATTATATGATTTATTTCAATATCTTTACCAATACTATTCTTACTTGAAATCTTTTGATTTTTATCATTTACTTATAACCATTCTCGTTTTCGAAATCGATAACCTTCACCGCATTTTACACTATATTTGGACCAATCATTAAAATCAGTCCATGTGCTAATTTCTATAAAACAATTGAAATGAAAAAGAAAACTGATTAAAAAGAAACAGGAACGAACCTGTCCTATCACAATCGTCAGGTGTTAGTCCTCCATTTAAATATATACACATTGGTTTGTCGTCTCTAATATAAATAGCGTCAAGTTTACATTTAACAGTGTCACATACTTTTGGTTTCAATTGTTCTCGCTAGATTGATGAAGTAAACGAATTAGAAATAAATCATCAGTTTAAATACTGTACCAATTTAATCACATCATTATTAATTGTTTTAGTAGAACCCTCGAATAATGAACATAAATGAGTTTTGTTGTCAAATACATACCCAATACAACTATTTTTATCTTTAACACATTTAATAGGACATTAATAATCATTGAATAATTCAAATTCATTATAGGAAATTGATATTAATAGACGATCCGATGGTATTCGTAATTTATGTAAAATTTCTTCATTAAATTTCATCCAATGTTCATTTTCATTAACAGCATTAATGATATTTGAGAGCAATAACAGGACTAGTATCATCGACAGTATGTTGAATGAAAACATGAACCAAAAATCTGTTCACTGAAATAGTTT